CTATGTATTTTTTTGCGAACATTCCGTTTCTGGCCTTTTTAAAGGCTTCCGATAAATTTTAAGGGGCCTTATGGCCCATTGTTGCCATTTTTGGCCCATTTTTAGGGGATTTTTCAATTTTACACACGCAGAAATCAATTCAAACTAAGAACCGTATACTTTTTTAAAAAGAACGCCAAAAAATGAATAAAAAACGTTCAGTGAAACTTTTTCCTACCTTGCCAAATTTTCGAGAAAAATCGTCCCAAAGAGCCAAAAATGGCAAAAATTCGATAAATTGCCACGCTCAAGGTACAAGAAAGTGGAGTACAACTTTCATATTGACGTACGTAACAGCTCTTACCTATATATACAACATATCAAAAAATTATAGTTGTACCTGGATTCCCACAATGTGAAAATTGGCCGGGATGTCGATTTTAGCGGCCTTTCTTTACCTGAAGGTAGCTCTTTTGAATGTTTCTCGACCTTAGTCACCCTCTATGGGTGCCCAGGTAGAACAAAATATTTTGAAAATATTTTAAAAATATTGCCGTTGTTTGGAAAATATTTTCACGAAAATACTGTAAAAATAGTTTTACAATATCTTTTAAATCAAATTTTTAAAATATTAAAATTAATTATTTTTAAAATATTTTTGCAATATTTAAATAAAAATGTTGTTGAAAAATAATTTTGAAGCAATTACTAAATATTTACATTTTAGTTGTAAAAATACTACAAAATACAATTGTAAAATTATTAATAAAATATCATAAAATATGCGCGCGCTGTAGGGGCTGTTTTGGGTACGTATGTTCTTTTCTGATAAGATAAGATATTTTATTCAAAAAGTAAAACATTACATAAAGAACAATATTAATCTGCCCGGCAAATTGTGATGCCCAATTAATCTGCCGGATCAGACATAAAATTAAATTCAACTGATAATAAAAGAAAAAAGAAAGGGGAAAAAAAAGAAAACACACAAAATAATAATAATAATAAAATAATAGATAACATAAATGCATCGACATAAATTCAAACTAGAAAAAGGTCCAAATGATTAAAACTGGAAAAAAACGCAATTATAAAAAACAGGAATTTGGTTTTAAAAAAAAAAAATAAAAAAAATGAGAGTCAAAAAAACCAGAAAGTTAAAAAAAATAAGAGAGAATTAAAAAATAAAAAAAATAAAATAAATAAATAAATGAAATGAAAATTTGAAATACATGAATTTGAATGTGCCTGGACTCTAGGAAAGCTGAAGAGTAGTCCAAACCACCTGAATGTGGTGTAAACTTTAGCCTGCTCATTTTGCTAATTTTAAAAAATTAGGAACGGTTTTCCCAATTTTAAAGTCGTTTACACTCAGTTCATTTTAAAAGATACTGCCCACCTTCTAGTTTTATTAAAGCTTGAGAAAATTAACCAACAACTTTTGAGTTGATCTACTTTATAAATTCTTCATCCTGATTTAGTAGTTTGCATCCTTCATGTTCATTTTGACTGTAGAATAACTTATGTGTTCGACTGAAACCCATTCCATGCGGACTTAAAGCTACACGTATTTCAAACTCTCGAAAATTCGAAATCCTTGAAACATGACCCGCATTCCGTCTCATTCTATACTTTTGTGAACTCTGGAAAGAACTCTATCCGTGAGCTTGGCAGGAACCGAACTTTCCATCTCCTTAGCACGACTTGATCCGTCATGGAACCTAACCTTGTTAGCTCATTATCATCCTCTGCCTATTTGTTTCAAGTATATAATATTCTGATTTCTTGACACATTTTAGTAAATGAGTGTCAGATTGAGACAGTATATCTACTGCCTATACTTTACGCTAGCTTCAAAATCGTCTGCCTAAAGGGGTAAACACGAATGTCAGATCTGATCTGAGATCTTGCACAGCTAGTTTTGCAGAAAACCTTTACCTCTTCATACTTGGTGAAGCCAGGACTACACAACTTTGAAGGTAGAAAAGAGATGCTTTTTCCTGTATTTGCTGTGGAGAGCTGGATCTAGTTCTCCCCAGCTTTTCCATGTGCCTCATAATCGTATCGACGGCTAGATGTTTTTTGCTTTTCTACCAGTAAAGTTGGTGTTTTCAACAAAGATCAATAGCTGAGGCTAAATACAATCAAAGAACTTATCCGAAACAATAAAATGGCCCACTGTACAACTTATTTAACTAATCCATTTTATTTTCATTTTCAGAGTGGACAAACCTGTTATTTCTATTTCATATCTTACTTCATTCCCGTTGGTTCAATCACAATGGCAACAACATCAATCGTAACTGTGATGAGCTCCCAATAGTCAATGTATCTTCGGTGTGATTACGATGGATTGGAACCCGATAAATCCCAGCAAGGAATAATTTCTCATAAATGTTTGTCCGCTGTTTTGTACCAAATTTAATTATTTATAAGAGTGTTTCAAAGATTTTCAAAAACTGTTTTTAACTACCTAAAAGTATTTATTTATTTATTTATTTTGTTCCTATGATTACTACTCTATTTTTAATATTGAGTATGAATAAAGCTTCTTTTGTTCGTGAAATTTTGCTTTCAACGTATGTTTTTCCAATTGTACTTACTGTCTATTTCCATGGAGACAGGTACCAATGCGTATAATTTTTAAAAAAGGATTCATACAAATATTCTCTTTTATAACAGCCAAAACCATGTTCTTTTCAAGGCAAGCTGGTTGACAGCAGTTCAGTTCTGCATCACGTATGTACCTAAATAATGTCCTTTTGAGTTTCTCTGAAAAAATTTTATACCTACTTACCTTTGATGAATTAAATGAGGCACCTACAGCTATACAAGTAGGTGTCAAATTGCAGTGCCATGCAACATGAAAGAATGGCAACATTTTGAGAAAAAAAAAAATTGTTCATTGAGACTTGCAACATCTCAATGCAATCATGTTTTCATGGCTTTAAATGTTGTTTTTAACGACTAATTTTCATTGTAAAATTCAGGACATTGAAAGGAAACACTTGTTATTTAGCCATCCTAGTGGTTTCAGATCATACGCATGTGTTTTTTTTTTTTTTTTTTTTTTTTTTTTTTTTTTTTTTTTTACATTCAAGTAGCCCTCAAGGGTCCCATCTGCTCGTGAACCAGTTTGAGCTGCTTTCCTTAAGGACAACAAAAAAATATATCACCTCCCCTTTCAGCAGCGGATGAAATGATCCCTGAATTGACTCGTGACTCCCTTGCGGACGTTGAAAGAAAATTTACAATGGACCATCCAATGTTTCCAGCTTGTGCAAATATGTTTTCTACTTTTCCTGACGACAGTACTTAAAGCGTGCACAATTGACCAAAAATTCGCTGATTTTTCAACTATTCATGAGTAGATAAAAAAATTAAAATCAATGGATCTGTCTAAATCAGAACAAAACCATTTTTTACAGTTTTTTCATAATGTTCTAAGTACCTAGTGCCCTCAAAAAAATTATAAAATATATTTGCACAAGCTGGAAAGGTTGGATGGTTCATGGCAAATTTTCTTTCAACGTTCTCAGTAGGGTCAATTCAGGGCCCATTTCATCCACTGCTGGATAGGGAGGGAGGACTAATAACGCTCTGATGACGATGTCCACATGTTATCCTGTGAATATTTTACGGATTTAGCGAATATCCTGAGATCATCCCGACAATATTCTGTTGACTTTTCAAGCATTTTTTCAAATATCCCGAGGATCCTCGTACAATATTTTGGGGATTTTCAAATATCCCCAGAATATTCTGGGGATTTCGTTTTGTCTCTCACGAAAATCTTCTGAGAATGTTATATTTTCACAACATTTTCAGAATATCTTGAATCTGCCTCAAAATATTATCAGAAAATTCACAGCATATCGACGGTGAAACTACCAAACCACGTATCTCAGTTTGCTACGTCGCAGACTTCCTGTCATACTTTATTTTTTAAATGAAAAACTACTTAACATCCAGTCTTGAAAATTTCTGTGATTGTTCCTCTTTGTGCGGAGAAAATTCCGTGAAAATTTCAAGGAATGATATTGGTTTGGTCTACTTATAAAAAATAAAATGTGAGCGTGGATTTTTAAACACCGCAAACGAGATACGCGGTTTGGTAGTTTCACCGTCGAGATTAGGATTATTAGGCTGCTAACTGGGCTCGCCGCTCGCGGCGGAAGAGTAGGAACGGCGGGAAAAATTTTAAATATTGGAAGGATGGTGGTTGGTGGGCCGAGTTTGCCGTGGAGCAGGTTTTTGATGGATCCATGGTAGGGAATATCTCTGAAAGACGCAATCCTCAAACATACTCCACATGCATTCAACAGCCTCCTAAAAGTTCATTCGTTGCTTCCTGAAACCCTGAAGAATACTGGTTGGTCGCTCTAGAGCACCCAGTTGCCACAATTTATGGGTTAGTCGCCTACAAGGTTCAAAATCATACTTCTTTTTTCCGAAAAGGAGGGCCAGCATCTCTGACAAACTTAAAGAACTCATGATGGTTGACCCAGAATACAAGTGTGCAGTTCTCAACTTGTATTTGACAGCAGGTCACAGCTCGAAAAATTGAAGACTTTCAGCAACCACTAGACGGATAGGATACATGATACAAGCAGAAGAAGGTAGGTAATTTCAGGGCTGTATTGGAACTGGGTTACACAGGTGGCCATTGCTGGGCACAGGAGATAGATAAATTCAACACAGGGGATCATACAAAAATCAAATTGGTGGAGGTAACCTGCAGATATCTGTAAGGTAGCCTACTTTTCGTGGGAATTTCATGTTTATTGATTGAAAACCTTGCAGTTCAACCACAATACTTGGATAAGAAAATAAAATTCAGCTTGAACTAGTGCTGTGCTCTACTTTGGAGGTTAGAGCTGCGAAAAAAGGTGCCGTAATCAATCGACCGGGAACCCCACGGACAAAATTGGGTCCGTGAGATCCGCACACTGCTATTGAAAGAAACCCTATGAATCGTGTAAGCGTGCATGCTAAAGCAGACACAGACAGTTTCTACTTACTTTGAAATCCAACAGAAGCCACTCCCTACTAGGTACTTGGACGATTATACGGACCGGTTCTTAGTTTTAATGACAGGATCTTGTTCGACTTGTTCCAGTCACTCGCGAAATTTCAGCACGAACATTCCGCGAGCAATTCGCGACTTAGAACAAACTAGAATATCGCCAGATCTGCCGGAAAAAGCACACATTACCGCGAACGGCCGACACTGATAAGTCAATCGCTATTGCTACACTAGACTGCACAGCTCCATTCATAGCACACAACCTACACGATCATAGAATAATAAAGCTATGATACGATCACGAATGCAACGAAATCGAAAGGTGAAATCGAGGCGCACCCCTCTCTCTGCCGCCCTGCCGCCCAAGGCTTCCAAGGATAATTGATAAGAAGAATAGAGTGAATAGAGGCGTCAAAAGTTGCAGAATTCCAGCAGTCATCACCTCGGTCATCGGTCACCGAGAGGTTTTATGTAGAGTACCTGTATAGCGAGAGTATGGACAGATCGCTTCATGGAGGGCTTAGGGCCCAAAAGTGCAGCCACCCTTCTAACCAACTTCTAACGCACAAAATTTCACTGCCAGTCTG